AATTTTCTAATAAAGGTGATCGGGGGAATCCCAGTAGAATCTAATGAACACAAATCTTCTGCATAATGGTAGTCGATAATTGTTTTAATGTATCAATGACTGTACTTTTTTTATTTTTTATAACTTATTATTGTTGGTAAAACAATAACTGATTCCCTATTCGAATTTTTATGCCAGGCTAAACTAATTGCATTCACATGGCAGGTTGCTTATTTTTCTTATAGACTCACACCAGCTGCAGTTAACATTGATTCTTGGCGACTGCCATTATTTACATCTAGGCTTTAATAAGAGAGTTGATAAAAAACCTCGTAATAAAGTAAATAAATTCGGGGTTAATAATTGATGTTGAAATGAGAGATGTTCGAAACCGCATACCTTCAAAAGTAATGCTGACATCTTCAACTTATATAGTAATTGCATGGATAAAATTTGGATTTAGTTCATTCTTCACACCAAAAATTTATTCCTTCAATCTTTTTAGATGACCAGCAAATGTTTTGTACAAGGACAAACTGTAGCATTATTAAAAAATAGCTCAGCTTTTTGTAAGTGCGAAGACGGAATTAAAACTCCGCGATTGTGAATTGTATTGGCTTGGCTAGTCCCCGCCAAAAAAATCTTTAATTCCGTAGTATTTACATTCTTGAAGTAATGGCAAATTTGACCTGCTTGATTATTTGGTTCAGACACATGTTTTGAAATGGCCAATTTTAATTGCCTTCTAAATAATTTAATTTAATAAAGTTCAGGTATAAAGTTGGGAATAATGGTAATGAATTGCCACGCACTGAAAACAATTTAAGTTTACAGCTAGAGGTGTTATGTCATAGTGTAATATTTTGAATTTTGCCAAGTGATAGCTTAATTTGAATGTTTAAGTAGCCAATGAGTTTAAATGGTTTTGCTAATCACCGCTAGATGAATAATGATAAAGGTATATTGCTCCATGCCTCACACAGTTGTATGGGAGTTTAATATTTTACTGAAGCAGGTTACCAGACTGCAGACTATTTTGGCACAATTTTAAGTTGTAATGAAATCGGATTTCACGTATTAATTTTTATCCTAATGCTTTGCTGCTTGATAAAGTCAAAATATTGTAGGGTCTTAAGTTCAGGTATTATGCACATTAAATGCATAATGTTGTAGCTTGCGACATAAGATTACTTTAAACCTTCTGAAAGCGATTGGGGGCAAGTGACATTCTTTAATCAAAAATTTTGTATCCATGTTACTCTAAATATCGAAGCGCCACTTTTTCTTCCCTAGATTAAAGTACAAATCACTTCTGCACTTTAGTGTTTTAAAAATGAAAATGCTTACGAGGAATTTGTGCCACAACCTTAGGTATCCAAGCGCTTCAATAATGGAGATTGCACAATCAAATCATACGAGCCAGAGCGTAATTTTAAAATGGCACATATTCATGAACTGTAGGCAAAAGATTCAAATTCTTTTGAGTTGTACCTGTAATCCAATCCAACAATAAAAGTATCCTCTTTCATGATCTTTGGTTGACTGTTTTTTGTGAAGCAAGTCCATAGCCATCAATGAACCCTGAAACTAATTTTAATTCACGACAATGGTCAGCAATCTTCGGTTTTTGTAAAATCATGAATGGATCGTAGACAAGCAGGGGAAAACACGCCAGTGAGATTGCGTTACAGTAAGCATTTCTTGTGTTTTTTTTGATTGAATTTATCTTCATTAGAAATTGTATGAGCTTGTTCTTATTACCTGGTCCATCAAATTAATACTGGAAAAAAGATCGCGTGAACTCAGAGTCGAAATGCAATATCTAGTAGCAGTAGCGGTATTACAAGGTCGACTGCTTCTTGAATTTATTGAAAATCATGCCAATATGCCATGGAAATGTGATTAGTTTAACTAGTAGACGTCAAAATTTACGTTGCCTTAGTATGTCCGCATGAGCGGTTCAAAGAAGTTGACCGAATGTGGTCGACGGTTCTCAAGTCTTTTCTTAAAGTTCTTGACAGTGCTGGTTTTACAGTAATGACTGACCGTAAATTCAAAATAGCATTTAAGGTTTTGAGACAACGAGGTCTACCTCATGCCAAAACCACTCTCCAATTTATACAAAATGCCTTTATTTTGAAGAAGCAGTGCCAAAGCAACTGGTTATTTTGTATGCAGGCAAGTTGAAAAACGATGTTTAATCAGTGAAACTGCAAAATGCCTAACACTTATATTAGTAAAACCGCAATAAATACTGTAAATAAAAAGGTATTTACAGTCACGATTGGAGTGTCGTTTCGATTTGTCAGAGAAGAACAAACTACAAGACAGGAAGAATTTTCCACTTAATAATGTAAATCACATGTTCAAGGACAGCAATTGCGTAGAAGAAGTTTGAGGCCCTAACAATGACGAAAGGCCCCCGGGTCGACAGCCGCAACGGCGAACCGAAAGGATACACCTGTCGCCGCAAGTTGGGATGAAATTGGAGGTAGCGTTCCATCGACAGATGGTGGACAGCAAAATGATACGCGTAGATGTATTCAGGGATCAATCTTCCACTTCGTTCCGCGTCTCCTGCTACATGTAGCATCTGACCGTCCATGTCTACAACAAGACCTCCAATCCATTCAACTGGCTCGCTCCAGTCGTAGGGCAGCATTTGAAGGTTATTGAAGGCGGCGTGTGTGCGAGCACGGACGAAAACGCGGCTACACTTCCACCAACCAATCAGAGAGAGATTGAGGTCAGGAGGGACTAAAAGTACCCATAAGATTTATTTTGGCATGAGGGCAAATCAGTCACCTCCCGTGTACAAACCACACTGGGTTTCTCAGATTGATTTTAATTTCCCGGAGATAAGAGCTTCTACTTGTAAACACAACAAGGATATGGTTCATACTGGGGGTATTTCAGGAACCACTTACCGTCACCAGGATGCCTATTAGTGAGGATATTCAAATGGCCGGGCGTCTGCCTTGAAGTAATGTTCCTTTAGAAAGTAAATACTTTATCGAAAATGATGACATTTCTGGTTAAATTAGTTCATAAGCATGGACAGTCAAATGCACTTTAATGTGTGGACCTGAGTAATTATTAAAAAAATAATATTTACGCGTGCTTTTTGTTTTCATTAGGTCTGGCAGTTTTGTTTGCCCTCGGCAGCTTTTCGTCTTGCAATTGCACCTCTAGCAAAATAGGGAACTTAAATTTACGCAAAATGAAACAGCAGCTTGTGACAGGAAAACTGCATCATCGAAATATGTTTATTAAGGTAGGGCACAGCTAAAAGTTGAAGAAAAAACGGGAAATGTGAGTTCTCATGGGTTGATGATGCTTGTTCTCATGAAAAGTTGCAGTTGCGGTAATTACCAAACGATTATTTGGCTCTAGTCGTAATTTGATACGTTACCCAATGTCACAATTTGGAGCTACTTTAAAAAGCATAACACAGGGATTAAAACCATGTTTAACTCAGTTTTGAGCAAAAATTTTAATGAAATTTCAACAAATGTGATTTTCAATTTAATGTTCCCTAAATGACAGACGAGCTCGCATTTTTAATAGAGCTCTGAATAGGCATACGTTTAACACCGGAATTAGTTGTGGGGGACACACCGACGTTTTCCCTATCTACTCGTTATTTAGTAAGAGCATCAAATTATCTTTTTTTTTTCTTACTGATCATAAGAGACCAAATAAAACTAACAGTAGAGCTAGTTGCACAGCAACTCATGGATAAATACAATACATAAACATGTTAGTGATTTTGGAAAAACTCCTAATTATCACACTAGGTCTAGTGAATCAGCCGGCCCAAACGCAGCAATGGTGCTGTCAGGCCAAAATGGTAAAGAAACGGAGGACCTTAGTGCACTGTTAAATTGCTGATGGACGGTCAAAGTACCTAAGCATGTCAAAATTGAAAACAGCGCTAAATGGAATTCAAAGCGATTTTATCACTAACTGACTAAAAATCCATGCTTCCGATTCACTAGCTTTTGCTTCCAGTAGGTTGCATTTCAAATTACTGTTCGCGATCCTTACATTTGTATCTACTGAAATCATGTGACTACACGAACAACGATGGATGGTACCCTGCTTAGCAAGCGTCTCTCTTGGGTATTAGGGGACTAGTAAAAAAGTTAAGGCTATTCGTAATTTGAGTGCACGTGCCTTCCATCTGTGCTTTAATCTAGGGAGGTGAATGCAAGATGTCAAATTTAATAATGTTTATAGAAAGGGTGTCATTAGCGAGAACTGTGAATGGCTAAAACGCCTCCTTTCAGGTTCGTTAAAAAACATGTTACTTATGTGATGACAAGTAGTATTCGTGTAAAAGAATCGACGACTCCAAGAAACGCAGCTGCTAATGTTTTGTCACTTAGAAAGAGCTCCGTGGATTAGTGGTGACTAGTGAAATATCGAAGCAATCCCGGCAAACGAATGACAATTAATGCACGCTTTCCAGTTGCTGCTTTGTCCTCGCGTAATGTATTTCCCAAACATTAAATCTGTACCAAGTGAGAAAGCTACAGTGAATCCTAATTATGCGTGGACACACAAAGAACCTCAAGACAAAAGAGGCGGTGAGGAGGTGGCATGACGACGTTGACGTAGCCATTAATCACCCGTTAGGCACAATGTGACACTGTGCGTGCGTGTGTGAGCATGTTTTAGAGCACTAGAGCACGTGACCAATGAAAGTTAGGATTGAGTCACAACCATCAATCAGCTTGACGTAAAACTGTTTGGACATGCAGTTACTCACGAGCATCTTCTGATAGCCTATTACAAATCACTGATTTAAAAAATGTTCTCATCGAAGCGGACATCCGTAGCAGTTGCCCCAACATTAAGTAAAGTTTGATTAATCAGAAGTGATGATAAATGGTAATCCAGAAAAGGACACTCTTCTATGTGTGCTTTGATTGTGTAGTTTTATGTGAAAGATTGGAATAAATGAGTCCAACTTGGTCAGCATCAGTTCATACGTTTCATTGGCTAAACCGAGACGAAAGGTCTCCTCACCATGCGCATAACTGCATTTTTACTGAATCCGGTCAAGTTTTGGAAAACTGTTTGCATAAAAATCAGATGTCTCGACACAGATTTAGTCCCTTTCAAGACAATCATTGAATTCACAAAAGAAGATGAGACCTTTATTATTTGCGTTTCATGCAGTGAAATGAAGTGACACGAGTGACTTTAACGAACTACCAAAACAAGCTATATTGTTGGTGATAGATAACGACGGGATGGGAACCTATATTGAGCCCATATTTTCAAGCTTCTTTAAACATCCACATAGAAACAAGAATGGCAAGGCAGCCCAATAAAGAGGGTAGGGCTGAACAACGCGCGAAACGCCCACCCTCTAATAAACCAACTTCCTGTTATCTGGTACCAGAATGTAACACGATACGTCGACGGCAACTTTTATTGGCTGTCTTTTAGCCAATGGCTTCACGCTTACTCAACGAGCGTTTATTTACTCTCGGTTGGCGCACCTCACACACATACATTCGTTTCTCCGTGTGCACGTACGTCGTTTCGCCGTTGTGAACCATGCCAAAGTGTCCCAGCTGTGACAAGGAGGTGTACTTTGGTAAGTTTGGTTGTGTTTATTTCTTCTACTCGAACAACAGCCGAGCGTGTCACTTCCCTCGGAAAGGACTGGCACCGCCCCTGCCTCAAGTGCGCACGATGCAACAAGACTCTCTCTCCGGGCCAGCACGCTGAGGTAAACCCTTTGGCAAAATATCTGTGCTACTTGATATTGATGTTTTACTAGCTATAACAACTTCGGTAGTGGCCGTTTGCTAGCGAAGTAGGGAATTTAGGTTCTACTTAGACAAAAGTTATCATACATTTCACAGATTTTAGAGGATTTTTTTCTAAAAACTCCTTTTTCAGTAGTTGAATCCTCGGGTTCATGTGTTGGAGCAGGTGATGAGGCTGCTGTAGTGAGCAACACCTCGTAAACAGATAATTCTCAACATCATGTCTTTCAGAGTCCCATGCTCATACACACACACACGCACACAATACCACCAATGTGCCATAAAAATTAGTTGGTTACCTGCAGCCTGATTTGGCACGCCCCTGAAAGAGATCGGGCCGTGGCTTCGGTCCTCTGGACCCATACATCTCCCCACTAAACCCCCGTACCCTGAGTCTGACGGAAGTAATAGTTGAATTTTTCGATCTATACTCAAGGCTTAGTCAGGTAATAATTTAGACTTTTGTTAAAACTGTAAACATTTTATTTGTCTGGAACACGAGATATACATTCAGCAAGTAGAAATCTGGTCAAGCTGGAGCTGAATTCGAAGCATAAATTTTCATCATTTCTTAAATATTTGTGGCACCATTAAGTAGTCGAATTGGCCAACTTGTTGCGAGGATAGTGCAGACATATTTTAAAGCCCACTCCGCACAAGTCTTTCCGGTTATCATGGTGACCCTAATTTGGACAGCGCCTAATGGCTTCTGTAAACCTACACCTCCTCAGAGGCGTTAGAATTTCAAAAAAAACCTGTTCAAAGTCATTTATATAAATCGCAGTTTTGTTAATATTAGTGTCCGGAGGCTCATATGGAAGGTGTTTGTGAGGCCCGGTAGATGACACCGACAACCTTCGTAAGGGTGCATGTACAAAGACTACAGTGATTTGTAAAGCAGCGTTTGCTGTCAGTAATGCTGCTGCATTCACATTTCATAACTTTAGTAGTCACTATTCTCTTATAACCTGAAGCTAGTTTTGCCTGTTTTAATCTGTACTTTCTGTGCAAAATTTTACCTATGGAATAGAAAACATGAAGGATTTGTTCTCCTGAGATACTGCAACTCACAGAATATTTTGTCTTGTCACGCCTAAGTTGTGTGATTGTACTTAGTATAGAAAACAGCATGGATTTTAAAGGGGCTTACATGACTGACACGAGGCCCATAATCTTCAGTTTATTACTTTGTCACGTGGAAGCTGGTCTTCCTAAGTAACACAGTTCAGCAGACCTTACAGTTAGAAAGATAATCGTTAGGCCAACGTGGAATTGATTTAGACCGATTTCTTCTCTTCGCACTCGCGACGTCTCCGATAATGAAATACACCTCATCCGTGGTGCACGTGCCCACAAGATGGCATCGTGAATAATGCATGCAACGATGCGACGTTGTAGGAAACCCTTGCGAAAAAGGCTTAACGCTGTTATCATGCTAACATCAATAGTCCAGTTGCTGCGTCGGCTTGAGTTGCATGCTTTTACTTTCAATCTAGTGCACCTCTTTAGCGCTGTCAATCGCCATGTTTTCGAAATTTCGCACCAAACCTCCCACACTTTCCCAAGGTAGATGTTTTTAGAACGAAACAAGCCAAAACACCAAAGGACGGTCTTTCTGGTATTTATGTCGTGAAGAGGAACTTAACCTGACTTGAGAACCACCGACGGATAGACCACATAAAGAAACTGGTAGACCTTATACTGAAAATGATTAACGGTACGGTGGCGTTTGTGCCGACGACTAAAGCCAAGCGTAATGTCATTTAAAAATGTGCGATAAGAAATCACAAGAACACTGCCCTTGATGATCAAAGTAAACTTTTTTCCTTTTATTCATTTGATCTTTGTAATTATAATTAAAGATATGCAAGTTGTAACGAATTATTGTTTTAATGTAATGTGTGTTACAAAACTACACGGGTCCTAAAAAATTTCTACCATTTCTGTGTTAATGCGTAAATACCCTGGAAATCATGGCTTCATTTATTTCACTGAGTTTTTTTTGTTCCAACGACATTGGAAATGTTTGATGAATCCTGACGAAATGAGGTGTTTTAATCAGATGGGAAATCTGGTGAGAGCTGTGCCTTTTCCGCCCACGTGTTCGGATGAATGCGCGTCGTCATTAAATCCGGGTGTTCGGACACGCTAGGGAGAACTTTGTCATTAAACTAGCGGATTTTTTATCTTGCCACTTCGATGCAGACAGCACTACCTAGTTTGAAAATATCAATTCTAAGAGGCTTCAAATCAAAAAAATGACTACATGTTGCACTGCCTAATCATGTAAGCCTTTTTACTGAGCTCCCATGGGAGTTTGCTCCCAAACATTTATCGCTTTACAAATGTTAAATGGCTTTAGCAGACAATTGCCTAATCAGGAGAGCAAACAAAACGTTAGTTGAAGTCTCCTTTCCACATTCCCTTATTGAATAGTTTTTAGTTCGCAAATGGAACAAAGGGTTCAAATACGAAATTCTATTAAGGCCGTAATGGCTGGGACATATCACTTAGTTCAACAAGGCGTACCGTCATCTAATGAATAGTGGCCGATTCAGCATAATTCCCGTAGATCAGTGTGGGTCACCTTTAGCAATAGTTTGTTTATGTTTTATTGAAACACAAATTCAAGAAGAACATCAGCCGGAAGTTGTGACCCCGATAGCAATCAACCGCTGGTTATTTTTGTGAAGTTCTGCATCTAGGGGAACTCTAAACGCCAATCGCAAACTGTGTGTCTTTGGTCGTTTCAACGCAACCGACTTTGGGTTGTTATTATTATTATTGTTATAAAATTTTAGTTATTGCTGTATTAAAGACTTATTCTTAAAAAATCACTGAAGCATTTCATGTTGTTTTGTTACTTTTGAAGTCCCAAAAAGGCAATTCATGACTTTTACATTAACACATTGTACCTTCAAAATAACCTTTCGACATTGTAAACGCGTTTTTTGCACCTTCGTTTTTGATAGTTTCACATCGTATTTTCGAATCCGTTTTTTTATTGTTTTTCAGCACGATGGGAAACCTTACTGCAACAGACCATGCTACCAGGCGCTCTTCGGACCATCAGGTAGGTGGAATTTATTTGTTTTAACATAGATTTCACTGTCCATACATGTAATTGGTAATCATTTTCTTTGCTGCACGCGTTTTATAATGCATACAGAATACTATCAGTGGTCACGGATGCGTTAGCCTAGGGTTTGTAAGTTCACCTAAGTAATTCAAGCAAATCTACTTCACTAGGTCACACGATATGTTCGTTAATCTAGACTTAACAAAGAAAGCTGCGCAATTTGCTTAATTTTTTTAAGCTCATTGCTTGATCATTATAGATTTAGGGTCGTGGTTAATCCTCATTACTCCACAAACAAAAAAATTACAAAAAACCTTTTTCCAAAGAATTAAAGTTCACTAGGTCACACGATATGTTCATTAATCTAGATTTAGCAGAAAAACTGCACAATGTATTTAACTTTTGTAAGCTTAATGTTTGATCAGTACAGATGTAGGGTCGTGTTTAATCCTCGTCACTCCACAAACAAAAAAATAAAAAAAAAACCTATTCAAAGAATTAAAGTTTGCTACTAAGGTTTTAAAGATGAACACCCTCAAACCTACATTCGTGTTACGGACCAGGTTAGTTGAATTGAAAAGGAAATTACACGTAACAGGTGTATGAGGAAAATAACTGTAACAGTTTAACTCCTTTTGTTATTGTTTTGGCTTAGTAACTAACCACACATGACGCACAAGAGGCGTCATTACGTTGCTTCACTTGAGCCATCTCAAATCTTCGTTATAAAAAGTCTCCAGAGGAGTGTTGTCGAGAGTGGTGCGATGTGTGTGCGTGTATTGGAAGAAGGCAAGAAATTTGGCACACTCACCATGGCAACGCCGGTGCTCAGCTGTGCATGTTGTGATTTTTGAAGCAACTTTTACATACGCAGTTTTCATTTGGTTGCTTGGGTCACGTGGAGAACAAGTCTTGACCATGGCTTTGTAAAATTATAACAAACATCTGCTTGGAAGGTGTTGTTTGAAGGCAACGTTTGAGCACCACTAAGTTCGTTGATTTTAACAGCACCCAATGAGCTGAAATACATGCAGGGGGTTGGCTTTCATTCTAAAATCGACATAACTTCAGCTAGGTCGCACTTAAACATAGCAAAACGACTGACCTGGTCCGTTTGTCAAAGAAGAAGACATTTGTCTGCGGCTGGAACCTTACTCTAATGATCGAATCAATGTCACGTCACATTTGTAAAGAAGGCTTAAGGGCACCGATCACAGAGTTAAACGAGTATGGCAGCAGATATTTACCGATAAAGTAAGGCAATAGCGACTGTTTCATCTCTAGAGTTCTCATTGCTAGAGAAGAGTTAACATTTGTTAGTCGAGCAATCCGTGAAATTCTACAGCCGCACAAACATAGGAGGCAAAGTTCAAGACCCATAAAATGACTCTCCATTGTCACCAAATAGTACTATTTGATATGCCGCTTTACTTTGGTGAGGCATTTAAGGTTTACTTTTTTGACAACTTGACCTGTCCCCAAGACAAAGATGCAACCTACAATTTACTGTGAGTTTTACCCAAGTAGGTGCTTTAATTACCGTGCGATTAATTTCACAACGACTTGAAGATTGAAGCAATATTACAGCTCTATGCCGCCATGCTCTTGATGATGCGTAACAGTTCTGTCGGCTCCCTTTGTAGGATTTCGGTAGCCACGCTCAAAGGTTCAAGTTAAGCACGTGCTGTATTTGTTGTTTCTTTTTTGTCAACTGGCATGTTTGGGTCGAACTTGGCATTGCTGGTTGTGTTTTACATCTGAGCATGCTGCGGTGTTTTGTGTTTCTCGTTTTTGCTATAACATCCTCCTTATGTATTCTGTTGCAGGTGTTGGCGTCGGAAGCTCCTACAAATATGACTAATTTGTTGTGTAAATGCCGTCGGCTTAATTCTTCGAATCTTAATTTTATCCAAACGTTTCATTTAACATAATTTAAATCGCATTAAAATCAAAATCATAAGTGGAAATTCTTAATTACAACTGTGTGGGTTTTATGGGAAAACATGGAAGAGTTAATACAGACAGTATTCCATCAGCCAAGTGTGAATAAGGCAAGAGAAGTCACGTAAAGTAGTACTTTTATCGTAAATTTTGCACTTGCACGGCACGTTTCAAGGTAATATGCGGTAGCATACACCGTCGAGCTTCTGTGGATTTGCTCCTTGACACTTTGTGAAGGCTAATTAGCAAACGATTTCTAGAGCACGGGATGTTCTATTTGGAAAATTTGAGCCTTGGTTGTGTGGATATCCGGAAGGACTCTTTCGGTGCTCCATTGGTTCAGGGAGGACGTACATCTCCACGCTACTGCAAATACACGAATTAGAGCATGTGGTTGTTTTACGTCGGTACATCTCTCCTCAGTATCACAAAGGATTAAAATTGAAGTCCTTTGCTACAAGGTCCTCCTACTGAGCATTCGAACTATACCCTAAAAGGTGGGCAGGTGGATTGAGGAACCATTTGTTTTGATTTTATTAAGTTAGATCATAACTTGAGGAAACCCGATCCTAATTGACATAAGCACATAATTTAGTCCATAACTGACCCATTGTTCATATTTGCCACTTCTTACAAACTATCAGCGAGCTGTTTGATGCGTCTGCACTAGAAATCGCTAGCCTTTGATTTAATAACTTATCGCGGCCTTTTATTATCAGATACTAACGTTGAATAGAACTTTGCACCAACTCCTAGTGATTAAAAAGACGAAAATCTGACAGATCCGGGTCCCGAGAATATTGTGAATATGGTTAAATCTCATTTTTGTGAGTGCGAACTGCAACATTTTTTTAGTGTGAGGGTGGACATTGGCGTGTTGCAAAAGGACTTCATGGCGTCGACGATAACGATTATCTTGCACTTCATTAAGCAGATACATTCCCGAACACGGAGATCTGCGCTAGCCGCTCCAAATAGGCAAAAACAAAGTATGACTGATATCTCCATTGCACCAACATACAGAAATAAAAAATTGAAATATTAACCATAGTGACTTCCTCCTAAACTCAAGTAGCAGTAGATTTCAGTCAATAGCTGCTGTTGTGCCGAATTTCAAATAATTTAGCTCCAGCTAGATTAAAATTATTAACAATAAACAAGACAAATAACTAGGTGAAGCGAGCCTAAACTGTTATGCACTAATACTATAACAGTATTAGTACTCGTCAGTGTGGGTTTTAAAGCACTTTTTGGTGGCCAGATGTTTACAACAATGCAGGACTGCCAAGTTTATGACAAAGCCGGCCGAGAGACAGTAACAAGATGAAGACTAATTGTTCACAAATTAAATTATCGATACAAGACGGAAACTTTAAGCAAAAAGAACGTAACGGAATCGAACAGACAGGAAGGCTGCACTATTACATTCAGGCCAGCTTTAGCAAACAGGCACTTGAGGTCAGTGTTCGATCTAGTAAAATGGGAATAACAATGCAAAGATGAACACCTCACCCGCGGTTCTCATATGCTACGTAAGCCTCTGCAGTAGGATTTTTGTACAGTAGAAGTGACAAAGTTTCAGTAAATGGTTGATAGACTATAAGGGAATTAAAATATGTTTGGTTGGTTACCTCGTTTCTCAAACAAACAATCGGAGGCGAGAATTACGTCAAACGACTGCGTTAATGCAACCTCAGGTATGTCATTCCAGTCACAGACAGCGAAACTACATTTTGACAGGTTGGCCCTTTCGACATTGCGAAGAATATTCTCTTCGATTAGTGGTTCATTGACATCAGTGAAGGTAACCCAAGAAGCACCACAACTTAATGCGGTTATACCACATAGACCGGTACCAGCACCAAGCTTTTGCGTGAGTCATAGGATTTCAGTACCTCTATGATTCGGCGATTGGATACATTGATATGGCCTGCGACAATCGATTGAGAGAGAAGTTCCGCAGATTTCCAAGGATGAAACGCATACCCAGTTTGATAGGGCTATTTAATAGCGATTGAACTAATACAACATACATGACTAGCGGCATTTTCGTCGGACATTTTGCCGACATGAATACAGTAAATGCTTTCTCGCAAGCGTACTTCTTGAACCTAGGCTTTACATAGCCTTGACACTTCAAAAGACAGCAGGAGCAGCATGATTATATAAACAAAGGATTTTTTGATTTAGCGCCCGTGTTGACTAATATATGCTTCTGCTGTGTTTTACATCTGAAGAGAACTGAAAAATAAAAAAAATGATTATAAGTCATTATTGAATGATAAGTGAATCAATCACGTCTCAATATCGACCTAATTTCTGGTAAATGAGCACTCTTTGCCATCCCAATGGTAATTTATGTGATTTAGGGTAATGCAAAAAGCAGATTTTTAAGGCGTTAAATGTAAAAAAAACATATGATACCTCTCATAGCACAAAACATTCACTTTACCATGAATAAGTATCAAAAGTGAAAATGTTGCTCTATCACGATTTTTGATGTCATACTGATAGATATCAGGTAAACGTGATTAAAATTTTGCTACAAAATTTAAACCTAAATAGTTCACCAATGTTAAAGGATCGACCGAAGCACCAGAGCCAAAAAATAAAAATTTTGTCGCACTGAAGGTAAGGCATAACCAAAAATATTGGTGTAAACGAAAATGGGCACTTATGGTCAGCTAAATCAATGAAGCCTAATGATTATTAACTTGATTATCGTTTATAACCTAGTTTGCTTTTGCATTATTATAATATATTTATTACCCTTTTGACGTGCTTGGCTAAACTCAATCATTCTTAATTTCTTCAAACTATATCTTCATTTAAGTGTTAAGTATTTGAGTAATAGCGGACAAGGAATTAAGAAGATAGTAACTGATGTAATTAGAGGGTCCGCGAATATTGGTGCACGGATCATTTGAGCGTTTCATTACAATCAGTTTGGAGTCACGTCAAACCTAGGGATGCTAACTACATGTCACAATTAGATGATAAACGCCTAAATCATATCTGAAATTAAGATTTAACTAATTCGAAGTCCAGCAACATATAACTCTATATTTTATTATAACTACTGGTTCTAAAAGACTTTTTTGGCCACAGGGAACAATTTAACCACAAATCCTTTCGTTTATTGAATTCAAATACATTTTACATAAAAATCCGGAGGTTATAGAAATACAAATGAAATTTTGTTTTATTTTTAAGAAATAGAATTTGTAAAATGTAAAAATTGTGTTGTATAATAACGGATGTATGGTTTAACTTCTTCTTTTCTGTTTCGATTTTGTTTTCAGCGTGATTTAGAATTAATCCACTGAGTTAGCATTCCTTTACGAGCAATCAGATAGGTCAGTTTATACTGCAAATTTATTATGGTGCTTACACGCAATGATAACTGATGTTTCGTGTTGTGGTTAGCACGTTTACTTTGTATAACATTCTGAGCTGCCTTTGTTACTTTTGGCTTAGTTGACTTCGACATGTAGTGTCTATACGAAGGAACTACAGATTATTAAACAGGCATTGATTGCGTTAAATCCGGTATTATTGGCAGCCTAGTTATTCCACTTTTACAAGTTCAGGATATTCGTTTCTGTATTGAGTAGAATCTGACCCGAAATCGTCTGCCAGTATAAGCAACATTCCGCACTATTGACTTTGCTGATGTTTCTTTTGTAAGCCTATTAATAACTCACAACCGTGTGCAGGATTAGTATTCGCAGAAGAAAATTATTTGTTTTTTGCTGCATCTTTTTGTATCGGTATAATAAAAGTAAAAGCTGGAAGTGTATTAGCAAAGCTAACACCTGGTTTCGTTGATCTCAAGGTAACGACCTTAATCCGACCCGTTGAAGTATTTATATATTCACCATAGTCTTGAACTAAATGTACTTGGTTTTGTTTCAAAGACCCACCATTGAAGAAACTTTTAGTTTGTGTTGACTGTGCTGAATTGAGCTTCAAAGAACAAAACCCGATTCTTCGATTAGCTTCTAATTTAGTTGAAGTTGGCTTAGATTAACCAGGTTATATCGACGGAATATATAACAAATTTGACAGCATATTAACATCAACATTCACTTGTCTCGTCCACAACACCTTTACAATTCCTTTTGCCCCTTAACAACTGATGTATGTTATTCTCTACGAATACATCTGAGATAATGACTTCCACAAATGAATCACAGAGAAGAAAAGTAGGGAATGGCATCCGAACATGTTATCAAACACTGTTGTTTCACATTTGTGTAACTCAATCAGTGATATTATTTGGCTCCTTTTCTTGCATTACGGTATTGCATCTTTGAGTTTAATCGCCCAATGTTCAAAAATCCACTGCTCCTTCTTATCACTTCAGTCTTCTTTCCAGGAGTATTATCTTCGTAACTACCATAGTCTTTAATTTTCTTTCCATTTGCGACTAGCCTTATTGGGTTTTCTCTTTCATTTCTTGATATTTTATTCTCCACAGAGTTGATGTTCGGTTTTGCAAAGTTCTTTTTCGGTTCATCACGTCGAGGCTGTGGTGCTAGATTCGCACCAGACTCATCCTCGAAGTACTCCTCC